TCCATCACTGCTGATGCCGATCAAAAATTTACGAAAAAGGGTTGGAGGCTTGCCGTTGCCTTTCGCGCTCGGGCGTTCGATCCGAGCCGTGCTGGCATGGTAATCGCTAGCCAACAGAGCCGCGGACCAGTAGGAGCGTGGAGAATGGCCACGGTGCCGGGCAGGCAGAGGCCGACACGCGGCATGCGATACCGGCAAATCGGCGTCCATTCAAGGGGAGCACACTCCGCGCCCCAGCCGAGCAACGCCGAGCAACGCCGAGCCGATGTGCAGCAACGGCCCGTTTGTGTTGAGCCCAGCAGGAAGGAACCAGGACCCACAGGGAAACGGACTCAGGACACTCCTTTCGTCGCCAAAAAAAACTGTTTTAGTTGGCAGATGATACATTCATTATGCGGTAAATGTCATTAAAAATCTTGTACTTTAAAAAAAATTCTCATTTTTCTTGAGGGGGAACAGCTGCAGAAAGTAAACACGCCTAGAAGGTCTACAGCAAATTTTTCGATGAGGACCGATAAAGGAATGAGGACAAAAGTAACGAAACAAAACTCTGTGCCGCACTTTTGGTGAGTCGTCCCGGCGTGCGGTTGGCCGCGCATGCGCGGTGCACCGCCTTGTAATGCGCGTGCTTTAGTGCCGCGCTCCGCTCCGCCTTGCTGGAGTCGCTGAACGTGTCGTATTGTGCGCGGCGCGTTTGCATGTAAGGCCCGCGCGATAAACAGAACTTGGGTGGCTGCGTTTGTCGCGCGCAGGCGGGAGTGGGGGAGGAAATTTCCCCGTTTCCTGCGCCTCGGGAGGGGGAATTTCCCTTCCCGGGCGCGGCTGCGTGGCGCTCCCCGCGCCGAGCTCATCTTCGCCGCGTTTAGCGACAACATTGCCACCGCTGCAAATTCTCAAATCTCGCCTCTAAAGTTGGCGGCCTCAATTAGTGGCCCCACCGCAAGACCGTTCTCTTCTTCTTCTTCTTCTTCTTCTTCTTCTTCTTCTTCTTCTTCTTCTTCTTCTTCTTCTTCTTCTTCATAATTGCCGTGTAATCCCCTCGAGCCGTTCGGTTAACCCTTCCCGCCTTTATTCAGCAGCAGCGAATAGCCTCCGCGCTTTGGGGTTGGAGGCCTGGAAGGCCCGTACACTGACTTTCTGTCTCTCCCGCACTCTTGGGCCGTCCCCTTTAGGTGCGAGAGAGACAGAGCGACGAGAACAACTCTCGGAGTGAGCCTGCTGGAAGGCGCCTGGGAAGGCTCCATGAAGGCACCCCTTCCCCCGTGCAGTTTTATCTGCAATCTTTGGATAGTCTGGCTGCAAGATGGAGTCACACTAGCGCTGCACCCAGAGACTCCGCCAGCTCGCCAGCTTGCAGGCAATAATTAGTTTTAGATAGCTTAATGATAATGAGGTCCGCGTTACAGGCGCCACCGCCTGGCGAAGCCTGGCGCCACCGTCGGGCACACTGCAAATTGAGGAGCAACCCCCTCCGCGAGGAATATGCAAATGGAGGTGTAGGCACTCGGCAACCTTATTTCAGTTTCTTTTTGCTTCGTGTTGATCTTGATGGACTTTCATGGAGCACTGTAGAAAAAAGTAAAGGTCGATCGACGAAAATTTTGTTGATTTCTGAAGGAACATTGTTTTGACAAAGGGAGTGCCTTGTGACTTCGTGGTCAAAGCGATTTAAACTAATCGATAAATGAACGGTGAGGAAGTCAAAACAGAAGGTAAAACCCTGAATGATAAACTCAAAGGCAAAAGTGGGAGGGCGGTGGGATTTTGATGAGGACCAGGCTGGAAATGGGAGTGGTGTAAGGATTGGCCTGGCGCTGAAATGAGAGCAATTTGTAAGTCGAGTGCACCCCCTCCCCTCTTCCCTCCAGCAGCGCTCCAACGCGGCCGGGCCCCTGAGGGGGTTGCTGCGCTTTTCGCGAGGTCTCACCCGCTGGGGCCCCCTCCCCCTTCACTGTGACTTGAACCGTGCCGAGGCCCCAGGGTGGCACGCCGGACTCCGGGAGTTGCACGCACTTTCTTCACACCTTCTACCCTTCCGAAAGCCACCCCTCGCGTGCGTCGCGTTCCTTGCATGGGGACACGGGGGAGCTGTTTGCCTCTAATTGGACTGAGATGGAGTGGGAGGAGTGTAATCCACCAGGCCTGCCTTTGGGCTGCCTTTGGGCTGCCACCGCAACAGTTCCCCACGGCGGTGTCTCTTTCTCTTTCCACCCGACTCAATGGCTCAATATTCTCTCTCTTTTTATTTTTCTCCTGACTGGCCCGCCCCTTTGCGAACCGCCACCCCCTTGGCTCTGCACGTGTAGGGGAGAAAGAGGCAAAAAAAGAAAAAGGAAAGAAAAAGATTGCGAGGATTTTTCTCGGTTCCTACGATCTGGGGGCCATTTAAGCAGAACGCCCTATTGGTTTCGCTGATAGGGCCACTTAGTTGGTCCGCGGCTTGGCATGGCCTGGCATGGCCTGGCATGGCCTGGCAGGGCGCAGCCCTTGCGGGGCTCGCAAAAAGGAGGCTAAGTCCGGGGGCTTAGGGAACGTAAAGGCAAGTTAACTTTCGACGTAATTTCTGCCGAGTCTTCTCTGGAGATAAAGCCCCCCCAAGGTGGAAACTTTGCGAAAGAAACAATATCTCGTAAAGCGAAACGCTCTTCTGCGAAAATAAGAAATGTATCAGTTGCAGTCTCCTCTGTCTCTTATTTTTTGCGGCCGATCGGTATCTGGGCATGATGCGCGGTACTGAACCTGACCAAAACGCAACATCCCCCTCACGAGTTGGCCTGGTTGAGACGACGGAAACTGGAGGTAGTTTATTTTGGGCTAAGTGACGCGTCTCTAACGCTTGTCTCCACCCCAGCGTTTAACTGCGGATTAGGATGACCCAGTCTGTACATCGCGTCCCTCCCTGCTCCGCAAATCTGTCAACCCTCCCCTCGGATGATGCTCCCTGGAGGTCGCGGGACCCGCCGCGCCGAGCTATACCCACCATGATGGACCGTGTCAATTTATGCTCTCCCTATTACGCAGCCTCTGTGTGTGTGTGTGTGTGTGTGTGTGTGTGTTTCTGCTAGGTTTTTTTCCGCTCCCTCCTCGCACCCTGGTGTGTTTGTGGATTTAGCGTGCAGTCGATATGGTGCCTAATGGGAGTCAAGTCGACGTGTCCTAAGCTCGGTTTAGAATCTCGGCCGTCGAAATGCTCTCGATTGCAACAGAGGCAGTACAGGCACAGGGGAATGAAAAAGCTTGCCTTTGGACCCTGTGTTGCAAACTTGTCACCGCGTTCGTAGAGTGGCGGTCGCAGAACTCTTTGCGACTGAAATGTTTGCTTCAGCGAAAAGCTGATGGTTGCAGCACACCCCTTCTAAGCTCATCAACTCATGACAGGAGGCTCAACTCTCTGCCCTGAACGTCAGCGTCCTTCGCAGGCGTGGTCGGTGAAAGGGGGGAACACGTTCTTACTGCAAGTTCAAAAACAACACGCTTTTTGTTGTTGTTTGCGCGTGACCAATGGGCGCGCTGCATCGCGGCCAACGGGATCAGCACGCGACGACTCGTGCCGCTCGTATTAATCCGCCATAACTAGATTAAAGCAATGTTTATAACTGCCGCGTTTAAAGCCTCCCTCTTCGACGCGGCCTTCGCGGCCTCCATCGAGGCCTCCAGGCCTTCGGGGACGTCACCGTCGTAATCGTTTCGGTGGATCTGCGCGACCGCTAAGATTAAAGCCATCCGTGCATGAGGTCTGTCTGTCTGTTCTGTCTGACTGACTGCCTGCCTGTCTGCCTGTCTCTGCTGGCGGTGAATTCTGTGGTGACGCGTCCGGCGCGGCTCCGCGTCGTCCTGGCCAGGTCCTGGCGGCGTCCTCACGCCGACGGTGTGCTCTGTCACCCACCACGATGACGCGCCAAGGACGAGTTGTCACGTGCAGAGCGTGCACGCCACGATGAGAGATGAACACACACACACACACACACACACACACACACACACACACACACTAGCACGCCATATATGATACCAAGGGATGGATTGACAGCCCAGTCTCTCGTCGACGGACACTGCCAGCAGTCAGACAGCTGCACGCCGCGTGCTCTGTCTCTCTCTCACACACAGACACACATGCGCGCACAGGGACACCTATTGCTTTTGAATTACACATCAGCGTCCTGCATGCCTAATAAAAAAAAGGTTGCGCACACAGTGTAAGTAAATTGCGTTTGGTGTTGGAAACGTTCTTCTCGACCGAAATGCAAAGTCATACGGGCGTGCAGTAGTTGCTGGGCTGGGGTCAGTCCAGTTAACAAGCCGCTTGTCAAGCTCACTCCGCGGTGTCCGCACATGTCACTGCCGCCCACAAATCTCGCGCTGCAATCACGTTTATTGCCTCAAATCTGCCGCGCGGCCACAGGGGCCGTAGCGCTAACAGCGGCTCTCAAAAACGCCTACCGGCGTTTCTTTTCAGTTTTTTTGAAATTTTTCGACAAAGAGGGTGTTTTTTTTTTTGCGTGCAGCGTTTTGTTTGCAAACTCTTTTGAGTGTTTGTGTGTGCCGTCGGGAGTGTATAGTGTGGGTGCGGTTGAATAATACTGTTTTTATTCAACGAATCGTGCTTTGCAAAGGATACCGGTCAAATGAACGCGTGTCTAGGCCGCAGCCCCGACTACGGCCCGGCACTGCCCTGCCCTGCCCAGACGCCGGCGTGGTGGCGTCGCGACGCCTCCCCAGTCCAGCGCAGAGTGAGCCGCCTCCTCCGTGCTCCGCGGCTGCACGCCGCCCCCTCCCTGGCTGCCCCCACCCCAGCCCGCGCGGCGTGCGGGCCGTGGCGCCGCCCCTCCCCTCCACTCGGCAGGCCGGTGGCCAGGCGCCTCCCACCGCGCGGCCCGGCCAATGGCGTGCCCGGCCGCCGCGTCCCGCGCGCTCTCTGGCGGCGGCGCGGCGAGGCGTCCCCCCCAGCGGGCGCGAGCCGACAGCCCGGCCGGCGGCGCGTTGCTGCGTTGCGGCGCGCTGCGCTCGCGTTGCCGCCTCAGTGCGTCCATCCTGTGTCTCCAGCGAACATGGCCCTGCCCGCTCGCGCTGTGCGTCGGCCGGCCTAACCTCGACAGCGATCGCGTTGCCGATGTCGCTCGGGCCCGTGCGTGCAGTGGAGTGACGGCGTGCCGCGGCGCCGAAGACCGTGCTCGTCGAGTGTGACAGTGTTACAGTGCTAGTGATGTTACTGGGTACCATGCAAGAGGACGGGCAAATCCTGGCGCCCGGGATGGCCGGCGGCAAGGTTCGCGCCACCGACTTCTCCATCGCCGCCATCATGGCGAGGGGATCGCGCGCCGCGCAGGCCCGGCCCGGCAGGAGTCCGCGGAAGAACACCGGTACGTCCGCCTGGAGGACAAGGATTATCTGTGCATCGCTCGCCGAGGACGTCGCCGAGGACGCCGCCGTGCCCACGGACGCGCCCCGCACGCCGGCTGTGCCACGGCTGTGGACCGTCCTGGACATTGTTCGCCCTGACTGCGGTTTGATTGCCCGTTTACACTGCAGCCGATGTTGGCGGACTCGCTGACACTGGAACACCCAGCTGTTCCAGGTAGAGGCGGCCAGGGCCAGGCGGGGCGCGACCACCCCGACCGCCCCGAAGGGGGTCTGCCGTGTCGCACCCCAGGCGGGGCCCCATCGGGGCACCCCGCCGGCAGTGCCAAGGCAGTGCCAAGGCAGTGCCTAGGGCGGGCCCCATTCAGCCGCCCCGGACAAAAGCGTGTTTGGAAGGACGCTAAAATGCGCGGCCGGCCTGTCGCCAAATTGGCGCGTCTGGCCGCGGCCCCCCGCGACGCTTCGGGCCACCGCCGTGGAAATCGTGAGAAAAAGCGCGTGAAATTGTTGTTGACGCGCCACATCTGGCCGCCTAAAATAACGCCCGGTTGTACTCGAGGGGAAAATGAAGACGGTAAACCGTTTACGACCGTTTTTGCGCTGGCGGCAGTGGCGGCGCTGGCGGGGCCGGCCTCGGGGACGGCGTCGGAATCAAGGGCGTTTTGCGGAAGCGGCGTCGCCTCGCGTCGAGCGCCCCATTGCTCCGCATTGCGCCCACTCCGCGGAGCCCAGAAAACCCGGCCAAATCAGCCGGATGACAAAACACAGTCCTTTGTCATTGCCGTATTGATGGGCCATTGCCGTGGCGGGCCGTGAGCTGAAAAACAAAAGAAAACGCGGCCGGGAAAAAAAATGATATCGCTTCGATCGGACTCTTGGGTTCGGCTGGATGGTTGCTGCAATGACAATCTACTTGGGGCGATGAATGGGTGTCCAGCACGCGACCGGGGCCCCACTGTCACTGTGCAAACACAGCTGGACGGAACCGTCGCGCGTTGCGAGCCCCTATCTCGTCTATCGGCACGGAAAAAACCCGCGGATTTTAAAACAGGAAACCAACTGACGATTAGTGGGTCGTTCAAAAATGGCCGGGTAATGTCTACCTTTCCGGTGAAGCCTGATGTTGTTTCTGAAGGCTGAAACGAAAGAAGCTTACTAGATTCATCTTTTGGAAACAAAAATTGGTCGCTTGACTCACGCATTCCAGCGGCGCGGACCACTTGGCCTTCTTGCGTGCCTTCAAACGAACCTCTCTCGCGTCGCGCAATCAATAAATCGTGCCGACGCGTCGCGCTATCATCTTTGAATGGCGTCGCCGCATCGCCTGGTCGCGTACCTGCAGGCATGCCTAGGCAAGCAGGGCCACGCCACTGTAATGGCTGTCCGAACGAGTCCCGCGCGGTAAAGCGGTAACGCGATACATACGCACTTTTATCGGTTTGTAACGGAGCGTTGTCGCGTGTTTACATTTGGCGGCTTCACCAACTTCTCCTCTCTGTGTGTACGTGTGTGTGTGTGTGTGTGTGTGTGTGTGTGTGTGTGTGTGTGTGTGTGAGTGTGCTGATCGATATGAACCCGGCGGCGTTATCGCCACACGGGAAAGCGGCCATTTTCGCCGTTGAAGCGACGCGGCGGCCGGCCGCTGCCGGTCATGCGATCCGGAAATTTGGACGCGACACAGCAGACGGGATTCCGAGGGATTCCGCCACATGAGTGCGAGAGAGGAGCGACGACGAAAACGCCATTCGGATTGAGTCTGCTGCGCGATTCGTTTGCCGCGCGTTCAGGTTCCTCTTTTCCGTGTCGCGTTTTTGGGCTACAGTGCACTTCCACCGCAGTGCGCGGAGTATCGCCGCGTTGTCGACTGATAGTGTCGCGGCGCCGGGGGTATCGCCGCAACGCGTCGCAACGCGTCGCAACGCGTGGCGCCCTTTAATTTGAGCGTGCTTTGTGGTTGATCCCGACACGGGGGGCTGCTTCCAAACGGCGCCCCGTCTCTCTCGCACCCCCACGGGACGCCCCGCGAACACGAGGGCAGAGAGAGAGAGAGAGAGAGAGAGAGAGAGAGAGAGAGAGAGAGAGAGAGAGAGAGAGAGAGAGAGAGAGAGAGACGAAGCGACGAAAGCGCACACGAAGCTGCAGGGGCGCTGCTGACGTGTCGATGCGCGGCTGCGCCCCCCATAGCCGAGGCCCCCGCGGCCCCCGCGGCCCCGCCCCGTATTGAACCCCTTCACAGTGGAGCCCCCTCCCCCCTCCACTTTCGGCGCGCAAATTTATTCCAGCGGCTTTACGGATTATCGAAAGCGAACGACGGGATGACGCGCGCGCACGCAAAACAGTTAGCGGGGCGGGCGCACAGTGGGCCAGAAGACCGGTGGAGGCGGTCACAACTCCGGACGCGTTTTGAGCTCCGCAGTCGCCAAATGGAATTCGAACCGAACGTGTGACCCCATCAATGGATTCCTCTCCGAACGAGGAATCCATTGGTGGGGTCACACGTTCAGTTCGAGTTCTGTTCAGCGATCCTGGAGCTCAAAACGCGTCTACATTTTTGCCGCCTCCACCGGTCTTCTGGCCCACAGTGGGACGTGGCGGCCTTCCCCACAGTGTAGCCGCCCTAATTGCGCAGCCCTTTTTGTTTACATATTCGTTTCATATACGTATTCATGGTTTATGGATTAGCCCCGCGCTCTCGTCGCGAAATTAGCATTTGGAGGTTATGTTTGTTGATACCGCGCGACAGAGCGCGACAGAGAGCGGCGCGCGCGGGGATTACAAGGGATGATGGATGCATCGATCCGATTCGCTCGCCGGCCGAAGGGTTTTGCAGTGTGGCTCCGGGCCGATCCGGCCAATGAGAGCAGGGCACTTGTCCCGCGTCCCGCCAAAAAAATCCGCGCGGAGCCGCAAGGCGTTTTCGGTGTCGAAAATTTCGCGGTCCCAGAAACCAAAGTCGAGTGATGTGTCTTTTTTGGAAGCAGCTCGGAGGGCGTCGTGTTTTGGCGGCGAATGTTTTGGCGGCTGCGCGCGCTGGCGGCGGTTGGGCCCCGCGATGGCGGCGCATGGCGGCCGACCACCCACTCGCCCACCGCGCCGCACCGCGCCGCGTTGCCATGGCGACCTCGGCGTCCGTTATGGATGCGCTCTTGTTGTCCTCGCCGCTCCTTGAGCTCCCCGTTCGATTGTTATTGGAGCGACCATAAGAATGACACGCCCTAAAGCTGTCAATAAACGTTTTGATGCCGCGGCTGAATCACCCCGCCGGGCCGTCGGGCCGCCGGGGGCGGTTCGCCCGCGCGCGCTGCGCCTCTCTCGCACTCACGGAGCGCCCCACGAGTGCGAGAGAGACAGAGCGACGGTGATCGACGGCGATCGCGGTCTGCCCCGCGGGGTGTCTCCCCTTTCAGTGTGCCAGCCTTTGCCTTCTCAGAAGCGCGCCGGTGAAATCGCGCGTGTTCGATCGGCGGCGCGTCACCGGGCGTCATCGGGGAGGTGCAGTGGCCGTCGCGGTCCGTGCTGGCGGCTCCGGCGGTTCCGGTGGTTCCGTCGGTGCGCCTCCTCGCCGCCGCGATATACACTGTGAGAGCGAAGGACACTCGAACCGCGGCTATCATTGTTCGCGGAATCATCTTCTCCCAACAAACGGACTGCTCCTCGGACAATTACAGAAAACAATCGACCCGGCTTCCCCCGCCCATTGTCGGCCCGGTCCCATGGGAACGCCCCCGCCCCGCCCCGCCCCGCCAATCAGGGCGTTCGTTGAGAGGCGCAAGATCTTCATTGTTTCTCTCTGGCGATACGTGTCTATTACAGTGTCGTGTGCAGTCGGCGCAAAGCGCGCAGAGCAAGCCGTTTGAAGGGGCGTTTGCCTTCGATTTAACTCGGTGTGTGTGTGTGTGGCCGAAAAGGGGCTCGTCGCTCAACGGGGCACTAACAATCAAGGGGGCGCAGCAGACTGGTTCCGAGAGTCGTTTTCGTCGCTCTGTCTCTCTCGCAGCTCCGCGGTACGTGAGTGCGAGAGGGACAGAGCGACGAAAACGACTCTCGGAATGAGTCTGCGCGGTGGCGGTCCCCCTCGTCTCGGCGTTTGCCCATTCATTAGCAGTTGCCATGACGACCGCCCCCGTCGCGGAGAGAGCGAGAGCGCCACCGCGGCGCGCCAATTTCGAATTTCAACAACTTGCGCGTGTGTTTGTGACAGTGTAGTACCGCGAGGGGGCTCTAGGCCGCTCTGCGCGCCGAATGCGTAGCTTACATCCACTTTGCGGTTTCGTGGCTTTGCTCGAGGAAGGCGTCGGCTGCCGGCAGCGAGTTCTTGACGCGGTAGTCGAGGTTAATTTGAAGGCAGACGGCGGGCACACTGGCGAGGCGGGCAAGGCAGGCCTACCATTGTTGTCGAGGTGACACTCGGAAACGAGATGAAGGAGGGCGGGGGGCTCGTTACAACGCTTCCGGCGTGGCCGCACCGCAACGCTCCGCGCACCGCGCTCCGTTTGCGCGACAATTTGCGCCGGTAATTGAAAGATTTCGGCTCCACGCGATTTCCGCCCGAAAACTCGGAAATTTAACAACGTGTCGGCGTAAAAGGCTCTCGAATTGTCAAGCAGAAAAAGCGGTCATGTTGATACGGCACTAGTTTCTTGAACCAAAAGGATTGTCGTTCGGAGAAAATAATTATTTTCTTGAATTTACATCGTTTTGGTGACTGGAAGAAATTGTTCTGGTCTCAGACAAAATACATATCGTATCAAAGCTCAGTTCTTAAAAATAACACAGTTGTTTTTTTTTTGTTTTACATAATTCAACTGAACAGCAAACGGCTTGTCCGGCGCGAATTTTGGTTTCAAATTTTTTGCCTTTTGCCTTCATGGCAATATACACAGCCTGGTTTCGACCAATGCCTGATACGGAGTGGAAGACTTCTGCCTGACCCCGCCTGTCCGATTTCTCATAACGCGCGGTGGAGAAAATGATACGGATCGAAACACGCAATCGCCGAACCGAATTCGCCGCGCCATATCGGGAGGCGGGTTCTTCGTTCTTGCGCCTCGCAGCCCGTTTTGGCGAATATACGTCGGCGGAGGGGAGGGGGGGGCGCGTCTGCGTGGCGAGAGATCGCGGAGAGCACTCTAATTGTCGTCATGGCAGCGGGCTGGCTTGATAATTGCAACACTTCTCTCACGTCCCCCTCCCTCCCCCCTTCCCGCGAGGCCTTCAGCCGTCAAGAATTCCAATTATAACGTAGCACCGCCGACAACGTGTATGCCCCCCTCCACGCCCCGCCCCGCCGCGCCCCGCCCCGCCCCGCTGCGCTGCCGATAGGCGCCGCCCCTCGGAAGGAAGTCTGGAGCGCTATTCGCAGTGTGGCGGCGCCCAACCCAGTTAGAAATGTTTGACGCGTTGATTTATCGATTTGACGGCGTCGAATCGAAATCACAGTGTCTCACCGGGCACTCCAGGGAGACCCGAAATTGTTGACAAAACTGGTGAAAGTTTGTCGCGCTGCGGCTCACCGTCTGCGTCGCCGTTCTGCCGCGACGCGGCCATGAATTTCTCATAGCCGAACGAAAATTGGTCTAGGAGCCGCGCGGCGGGGCCTGGCTGCTGCTAGTTCATTTGCGGAAAGGGCGTTGCGAGACTGTGGGGGAAACCGCGCGTGCGAGTCCGCGCGAGTGCGCGCGGGAGGCCGTGTTTTCTGTTTTACGCCTCGCCAAATGTATTTCATTTGAAAATTTTACGGCCGTGGGTGTGAGCGGCGCGGCGGCGTTGCAGACGGCAGCGCGTTTCGGACGCGGCCCGCGAAGGGAAAAAGGAGTGCAACTAACTCATCGCGGCCGCCTTCGTTTCGTCATCCGCTTCGTGCGAGTTTACACACTCGGGGAACAACATCCCTTCCTGTAGCGGTGCCGTGCCGCCATGCTTGCCGCCGCCCGGTCCCACGTAAACTCGGCCTTTGCTGCGAGGCTCCCTCGGGATGGGGTTAGGAGCCGCCGAACGGAGAGCTGCCGGGCAGTCTATGCTGGCTAGACTCTAAAGGACTTTGGCCAAGTTGGTGGAACTGACGCACAAAAAAAAAATTAAAAATTCAAAAAAAAGTCACCTGGTCAATAAAAAATTATTTAAATTTAGAAATGAAACTGTAAAAATGACACTGAAAATCTTTTAAACAGCTCTTTCAAAATCTTAGATAAATTAAGAATACTAGGAAGATTTTTTGAAAACTTTCTTTGTTTGTTGTGAAAACAAAATTTAAGGGTTATTTTTTTCTGGCGCGGTGTCCGGGGATTGCGGGTAAAGCTCTTACTCGGGCGAGTGCGGGCTCGGTGCACCTCCGGGCCTCCTCCGGGATGGAGTCATCCGCCTGGCCGATCATTACCCAGACACAACACTCCGGCCACCCCGTCACGCCGGACGACGGACAGCCGAGCCGCCGCCGGCCGCGGGGCCGCGGAGCCGCGCGGCCGCGAAAGGGCGCGTCGCGGACGCCATGGCGCAGTGGAGGAGTTTCGTCGGAAAGAATATACCTTACTCTGTCGTGACTGTACATGTTGCAGAACAGTTGCAGCGTGTGTCTGTCGGTCTGTCAGGCGAAACGCCGCGCGGCCAAAGGTCGTTGGGGAGGGGGAGAGGGGGGGGGGGGCACCTCGGGGGCATCCAGAGGGGCGAGCGCGCGCCAACCTATAAGTACAGCACCAATCGGAAGAACTTTGAGCGGGGCGCACGTCGCTCATCGCAGTGTGTGTGTGTGTGTGTGTGTGTGTGTGCAGAGCGGCAAAGAGTAAGAAGGCGCTGGAGAACAATACGCCATAACTGCGCCGCGCTTTACGACTGTCTTTGTCCGCGTCGGTACCGCGGCGGCGGCACACAGCCCGTCTCTGTCGCACCCCCTGGCGTACCGCGGGGTACCCTGCGGTACACTGCGGCACGCCCCGCGAGTGCGACAGAGACGGAGCGGCGGCGCGGCGCTCTGAAGGGCTCGCGCTGCATATTCCAGGGGGCGGACGGCGGCGCAATTTGACGCTCGCGGGGCTGATGCCTGGCTGATGCCTGGCTGGCTGGCTGACGCCTGGCCGCCTGACGCTCGCGGACGCTGCCAGCCCGGACTGTCCGGCGCGTGACCGGTATGAGAAACTTGTCGATCGGATTGGAAAGCGGCGGCGGGGTGAAACTAGAGTAAACAAAAGCGGCGGCGCCGCTCCGAGGCAAATGAAACACACGTAGAGAGAGAGAGGAGGGGAAGGGGAAAGAAAGAAAAAAATGATGAAGACAGGCTGAAAAAGGCGGCCGGCGTCGGAAACATTGAAAGTGGGGCGGCGGCGAGGATCAAAAGAAGTGCATCTGTACAGTGGCAGGCCGCAGGCCGCAGGCAGGCAGCGGCCTGCACCGGGATTCATACCTCCGTCTTCCCGGTGTAGTGGTCTTCCCCGGAATCACTGGCTGCGCGGGCTGCGCAACGTGTTAATACACACTCTTTTATTTCTTGTTTTTGTTGTTGGTAATTGCCTCATCTTGCGGTCGGTTTTCTTATTTTTTTCACACCACGCGTCGTCGCAGGGAACATGGACCGGGGCGGGCAGGGCGGGCAGGGCGGCCTTGCTTCGATTACAGGGCACGCCAAATTAAAGATCATGCCCAGGAATTTTAGAGTGCGGGAAGGGGAGTGAGAGGCGTTCTTGGCTGCTCCGCGTTGGAGGCCGGGGGAGACTCCGCCCGCGGAAACTTCGGCGTCTTTAGCAACGAGGAAGAAACGAAAACTAGCAGCAACAACGGTGTGCCTACGGGGAGCGATCGATCCGGTTCCACTGTTCCACAGTGTGGTACCTGCGGGTACTGCCTCCGCCCCCTTCCTCTGGGATTGAATGGGTTCCATTGAGGATATGCCTTGGAGGGGGTGGTGTGTCGGGGAGTGGGGGGCGGCGGCGTGTGTTGCCGTGTACGTATGATCACGCCTCGATACCGCACGGCCTGCCCGGCCTGCCTTGTCGGCAATAGCTTTGATGCGGTGCGCGATAGGGCCGAGCCTTTGACTCCCTTTGGGTTGCTTTTCACTGCCCCTTTGACTGCCCTTTGGATGCTCGGATGCCTTTTCGCTGCCTTTTGGATGCACATTGACTGCATTTTGACTGCCTTTTGGATGAATTTTGGCTGCCATTCGGCTGCTTTCTAACCGCCCTCAAACTGCCGGCCTCAAGAGGAGGAAGAAGGGGTGGGTGGTGCTGCAAAAGGCGGCCGAAGGAAAGCCGATTGAGATAAAAGAGCGCGGGGTGCTTATGGCGGGGTCAGCGGCTGGGCCGACCAAAGGCCATAAATATTGTTCTACTCGCCGCCGGCAGCGGCAACGCCGGCAACGCCGGCGCGCGATTTAAATGGCTATTTGTCCGGCCGGTGCGGAACGGCGCGGCGGCGGCTCGATCGCCGCGGGGACGCCGACGACGCCTCCCCCTGCGCGCCGAGGACGCACAGTGGGCCAGAAGGCCACTGGAGGCGGCCAAAACTCTAGACGCGTTTTGAGCTCCAGAGTCGCTAAACAGGACTCGAACCGACCGTGTGACCCCACCAATGAATTCCTCGTGCGGAGAGCATTCCATTGGTGGGGTCACACGTTCGGTTCGAGTCCTGTTTAGTGACTCTGGAGCTCAAAACGCGTCTGGAGTTTTGGCCGCCACGGTCTTTGGCGCACTGTGCGCTGTGCCCCGTGCGCGCCGTCGACGACGCGCGGCCCGCCGACCTCGAAGAACGCGCTCGCACACGCACGTCGCACGCACACACACGAGGCGCTGGAGCAAATGAGGTGTTTGTGTGGGCGTGTGGGCCGCCGGCCGCCGGCAGAGGGCACGCGTGTCGCGCCTGTCCGGCCCCGCCTTGTAATCTCGGGGCCGAGCCGAACGCCGCCGAGGCCGGCCGGGCCTTGCAGTGTGGTGCACCGGCTGCTGCCACCAGGACGCCCTCGAGGGCCGCCTGCAGCGCAGAGCGCGTCTGCAGCAGGGCCGAGGCGGCGCGTCTCACTCGGGCCGTGGGTGCGACAGAGATGCAAAGCCGGGGCCGGCAGTGGGCGAGGCGCTGCAGTGGCGGCGGCACGGCGGCCGACGCGGCACGGCGCGTATCGTAATGGATTAGTCCGGGCTGTGCTGCGCTGTGCTAACGACCGCAGCGCGTATAAGGGCCGCGCGTCCAGCCGGACTCCAGCGGAGTCCACAGCCAAACGGCGTGTAATGCCGCAGATCCCCCCCCTCCCCTCCCCCTCGCGTTGAGTCGAAAGGAGAGCGCGACGTCGTCGTGGTGGTGCGGCGGCACCGCGTGGCGGCACCGCGCGGCGCTTGGAGCTTGTAGCCTCGCCGCAGTCCGCTCCGCGTGCTGGCCGTGCTGGCCGTGCTGGCGGTGGTGTTGCACTAATCGACGGCAAGATTGCCGGTTCGGTGTGTGCCGCGCCGCGCCTTGCCGCCGCGCCCCGCCTCCGCCACGCCCCCGACGGCCGGCCGGCCGGCCTGCCAGCGAGCCAGCCGTGAGCCAGCGACGTGCCGGAAAGAATTCCCTCCCCGAAATTCCGAGTGTCGGTGTGTGTGTGTGTGTGTGTGTGTGTGCGTGCGTGAGCGCGCTGGCGGTTTAGCCTCCGTAATTGGAGGTGTGAGGTCTCTTAGGGCGTAAGTGACCGGCTGGTGGCGGCGTGGCCCGCGGCAAACGCTTTGATCTGCGGCCGCGCGCTGTGGCGGCGCTGCGGGCTCTTTCCAAACTGCGCGCGCTTTCATCGCTCTGTCTCTCTCGCACTCGCAGGCCGCCGCGTCCGGGTGCGAGAGAGACAGAGCGACGCGTTCGGAAGGAGCCCGCCGCGCAGGCTGCCGCCGCCGGCCGGCTGGTCTAGTTTGCGTCGATGAGGGCCTTGTCGTTGTAGCGCCTGACGTGTTGTTGTTGTGACTGACGTGTTGTTGTTGTTTGTGTTGCAGATCGGATAGCGCGGCGGGAGGCGCTGCGGGACTCTGGCGGGGCGGGGGTGGGCGCGCGGGGCGGGGCGTGCAGCGACGACGACCTGGCCTCCAACGAGGAGGACATCGACGTGGACGTGGAGGAGTGCTCGGAGGGCGAGTCGATGAGCGGGGGCAGCTCGGGGCGCGGCGCCAGCAGCACGGGCGGCGGCCACCGCGCCGCGTCCAGGGGCTCGGCGTCGGGCGGCGGCGACGCGGCCGACGGCGAGCTCATGGAGGGCGACCTGGACGCGGACGCGGACGAGGACCGCGACGACGCCGACTCGCCGTCGCCGTCCCCCAAGGCGGGCTCCGCCGCGCTGCGCAACAAGACGCACTGCAACTGCCCGGAGCTGCTGTCCGTCGACTGCCACCTCGAGACCAAGGAGCTGTGGGACAAGTTCCACGACCTCGGCACCGAGATGATCATCACCAAGACCGGAAGGTGAGTCCGACGTCGCCGTCCTTGCCGCCCTTTCAGCGTTCGCCGCGGACACCCCTTGGAATCTGGCGCACTCCGTCAAGTTGATGAACCCCAGCGCCTCGCCCCGCCCTTGGGCCCTGGGGCCGCCCTGGGGGGTCCGCGGGCTTAGCAGCCACCTCGCCACCCGGCCTGGGCTTGCGCTTGAGGGGAGGGGTTCCCACTCCGCGTCTGGCGGCGTGGCGGCATGCGATGCCCGCTGATTGGAGGGGGATGCGCCACCCGACGCCGTCCTGGCCGTGGCGGTGCCATGCGGCCGGCCCAGCCAGTCGGTCCGGGTGACGCGTCTAACTCGGTCTAATCTTGGCCACATTACGCGACACTAAGCCGACGGCAGCCGACGGCGGCCCACGGCGGGCAGGCCTCGTTTTCCGTGCCATATCCCCCAGCGCCCCGCGTCGCCCCGCGTCGCCCCGCCGCCGGTCTGCCCGCCTGACGGCGAGCTCGTCGGATAACATGCGTGGCGTGCTGATCGGCGGTGATCCGGCAGCAGGGCACAGTGGGCCAGAAGACCGGTGGCGGCGGCCAAAACTCAAGACGCGTTTTGAGCTCCAGAGTCGCTAAATGGGACTCGAACCGAACGTGTGACCCCACCAATGGATTCCTCGTTCGGAGAGCAAACCATTGGTGTGGCCACACGTTCGGTTCGAGTCCCATTTAGCGACTCTGGAGCTCAAAAGGGTTTTAGAGTTTTGACGCCATAAGGGGTCCGGGCCCCCACGGGCGGGGCCGCCGCCTGGCCGAACTCCACCATGACGGCTTGCTTCTCGCAGTGGCGGATCCAGAGCCGGGCTCCTGGAGGGGCAAAGAGGCACTTTTTGCCTTCTCTCGAGGGCGAGGTGCGGCCTGTTGCCTACCTCTCAGGCCCGGATCCACCACGCCCGTGCGGACAGGTGACCAATAACCAGGTCCCCTTGGAGTGACACCACCACCACGACACCTTGACGACAATCATCACCAACCACCGCCGCCACCGTGGTTGTTTTCCCGCGTGACATTGGCCGCCTCTTTTTTGCCGGCCGTCTTTGGAGACGGTGAGCAGGGCGTCCTTGGGCCCCTCGTTAGCAGTGCGGGGACAGCGCGGCTCTCATCAACGCCGGATTACGCTATCAGAATATGAAATCGGCGAGCCGAGGCCTGGAGGTCAGCCCGAGGCAGACACACTGCGTGTTTCGTTTTGCCGCCGCCGCCGCAGTTTCTTAATTTCCCAGGGACCTTCTTCCTTTCCTGCTCTTTTCCCTTTTTTAAAATTTTTTTAATAGAAAAGTTTTAATGTTATTTTTTTCCAAGGCGCAAGCTGGTCGCGAAACTTTGATTGAGCCTAATCCACCCCGCGCTTCGTCTCCTCGGAGTTGGCGGATCGAGATTTGGAGATTTCGAGGTATCGAGATGGATGCGGAGGGAAGGGTGGCGAGGAAGGACGCGGATAAGGGCGAGGCTATCCCCGGTGGCGATCTGCGCGCCGCTTAGCCGCGTAAACGTAAAACCAACCGCCCGAGGCCAGGCCGCGAGGTCGGCGAGGCACAGTGGGCCAGAAGACCGGTGGAGGCGGCCAAAACTCTAGACGCGTTTCGAGCTCCAGAGTCGCTAAATGGGACTCGAACCGAACGTGTGACCCCACCAATGGAATGCTCTCCGAACGAGGGATACATTGGTGGGGTCACACGTTCTGTTCGGGGCCTGTTTAGCGACGCTGGAGCTCAAAACGCGTCTAGAGTTTTGGCCGCCTGCACCGGTCTTCTGGCCCACTGTGCGAGGCATCGACTGTTGGCCGGGTCATTTGGGGAGCGCGGCCTCGCTCTGCGCGGCGCGGAAACGCATCTTAATTTTACAAGCGATTAATCATGAATATGCATCACGGAGTCGAGAGTCAAGGGGTGGTGGCGCTGCTGCTGCACTATCGGGGGCGATCGTGTTTACATTCGTCAAATGCCAGTGGCGCGTCCGACAAGCGGCAGTGTTCCTCGCTTGCTCGATTACTTCTGACTTTTTCTTTTCTTTCGCCATAAGTAATTAGGGGTTGGCCAAGTTTCCTCGAGCGATGCGGTGTCCGCGGCCTCGGTGCTTACCCCTACACTGCAGTGTGGAGGGCCCCTTCTCTTTCTCTCTCTCTCTCTCTCTCTCTCTCTCTCTCTCTCTCTTCCCCGCGAGAGGGCGCTGCGATTGGATTGTTGGACCGTAACAAAACGAAACTTCACGCTCGCGGGTGTTCTCCCTCGCGCCTTCTGTCGCGATGTGTGTGTGTGTGTGTGTGTGTGTGTGTGTGTGTGTGTGTGTGTGTGTGTGTGTGTGTGTGTGTGTGGCCGCAACGCCCTCGTCCATGTGTCAGCGAGAAGTGGGGTTCCGGCCGAAGAGGATCGGGGGATCGGCGGCGGGTGCTGGCGGGGATTTGAAGGGGAGCTCGTGTCTCGTTTCAGCCTTTTCTCGCAACACCGGGCCTCCCTCTCCCCCCCCCCCTCTCCAAAGTTTTTTCGGGGCTGAAACTCAAGATTAAGTCGGGCGAACAGCCCTAGACTGATCCCTGCGTCCGGGCCAGGAAGGCCGCGATCGAGTCCACCCCGGCCGAGCGACCAACTTGAACATGTCTGTCTGTCCGTCTGTCCGTCCCTTCCGATATGGGTCGCCGCCGCCGGGGACGGCATGACCCAAGGAAATCACAACAGCGCTGCAAACATAGCGTTAAGGTATTCCACTAGGGACAGTCCCTGCAAGGAGTGTAGTCAAGTCCCAACAAAGACACTCTCACTTGGGGATGTAATGAAATGAGTCTAAGTTGCGCGATGGGTTAATGTAACCACCCTTTCTCATAGTAACAACAATTTTCTCAACCCGGACTTCATATGATTCAATAATTATCTGTGCAAAAATTACCATCAAAATACTTTTGGATATGACTATCACCAACGCCACCCTAAAATGCTGAAAGGTAACCACGATATCGAAGTCAAAGACAATTTAAGTGCGAATTCGGCCTGACAAACGCTTCTCGGTTAGTAACTATTTTATTTAAAATCTGCACATGCCGAACTCTTTCCAGTAAACTAACTTTTATGAAGCAGTAACGAACCATATTTTGTTTCGTGCAGTGCGGCAACGTTGCAAGTGGTAGCCCTGCTTCGGCCCCGCCATCTTTGTTTACATCAGTAGACGCCGTCCACCACTCTCAAGATCCAGCCTAAATGTACAGACTGAAAGGAAAATTGGTTTCGGCCAAGCAATATAATGCGTATCTCAGCAGAGTGGAAATTCTGAAGAAAGGGCGAGTGCTGCAGCCGCAGCCCGACTCCCCAACTACTCCAACTACTCCAACTCCAGAGCCATCAGAGCCTGCAAGGGCCGGCAGCCGACGTAGCCTAAGTCCTGCCACCGATGAAAATTCGACGCCAAAAGTGGTTGTGTTGCAAACTGAGGAAGTCAATGTGGACCATAAAGACTGTGGAAGGGGGCGGCGAATTGTTGAGATTTTTGTGCTGGCCAAACATCTGTGGTGCTGCTCGTGCAAGGAATGCCTGTCGCTGGAATACATCGAGAGAGAGACGCGTTGCGGCTTGGGGTCACTTTTCTACATTCGCTGCCACAAATGTGCCATTATTAACGTCGTCCCCACTGGAAAACGGCACAAAGATGCACTTGGACGCGACACCCTCTTCGATGTGAACTTTAAGGCAGCATTGGGTATGTTTTTATGTCTTGTTTATCAAGATCACTGGGGGCCCGTAACCTAACTTTAAAAAAAATTACAGTTCTATTGTAACGTTTTTCTTTTGTTACTTGTGTCCCCAGGTGTCACGAGCTCTGGATGTTGTTACGCCCATTTGGACAAACTGCTTGCTAACATGAACATGCCCAACATGGCCTTCGACACCTTCAAGAAGTATGAGCGGACCTCAGGAAAGGGCATCGAAAAGATTGCCAGAGAGAGCTGTGAGGAGGCGGCAAAGGAAGAGAGAGCCCTGACCGTCCAAAACAAGACCAGCATCGAGAAAATCCTGTAAGATAATCAAAGAACTATGTTCACTGTGACAATTCAATGAAAGCAGTGAATTACATGCCAGGTTCAGGGATTGTGGTGAACACAAGCAGAGCAGCTGATTGCACAGCGGCACCTAACTTGCATGGAGGGTTTCCATTAAATGCACTTAAAATGGGGAGTACTTTGGTTACCGTACATTGGTACCTTTCATTACTTTCACTGTGAGTGATAAATATTTATTTAATTTTACTTTACTTTTTTGAAGAGCTTTCCATGGCATTAAAATGTCTATGGAAACTACTCAGGTCATGATTCAAGATATTTCTCTGTGGGGCCCTTTTTCAAATGACTGAAGCTTTATTTTGGTGAAAGTATAATTGTTGTCCGACAAAATTTACCAAATCTGACTTGTCGTTCCAGTTTCACAAATCGAAAGCTGTAGCTCAACCCTTGACCTCCAGTGCGTTCCTCATTACTACAGAGTGTACTCTGTGTATAGCTTGATGGTTGCAACTACTTTTATAGTTATATTAACCTTATGTGCTGAGCCAAAATACTAAAACCTTAATAAAAATTGCTGTATTTCAATACAAAACAAATTTTTTATTTTTGGGCTCAGCACATAAGGTTAATATAATTATAAAAGTAGTTGCAACCATCAAGCTATACACAGAGTACACTCTGTAATAATGGGGAACGCACTGAAGGTCAAGGGCTGGGCTACAGCTTTCGATTTGTGAAACTGGAACGACAACTCAGATTTGGTAAATTTTGTCGGACAACAATTATACTTTCATCAAAATGAAGCTTTAGTCATTTGGAAAAGGGCTTCACAGAGAAATATCTTAAATCATGACCTGAAGCTGCCTTTCAGTGATAAATATTTTCTGTTTAAGTTTTGATATTTTTTTAATTTTTTAATTTATTATTAGCACACCTAGTCACCACGGTAGCATATTTTTATGCTGTAATTAACCTGAACTGTGATATTTGGTTGGCATTCACATGCTTTATTGTTTGTTGAAAGTGACTGTTTTATTGGTTATTTAATGTAAAGGATTTATGTTATGCCATGATACTGATGAAATAAATTTATTCATCCAGGCCTGAACATTTGCAACAAGACTTCCTTTTACCCGTCACGCCGTCACGAGGGGTCGACTCTACACCTGATTGTGAATCCAGTGATTCATTTCCTGCCACTTTTGACCAAGTAGTGAGGATCATGGTATCTTATGACATGGGATGGAGCAAGAGGGGGGCGGGCAGAAATTATGACAGCCTTAATGGCTATGGGGCTATTATAGGAAATTTAAGTGGGAAAGTTTTAGATTTTCATCAATGCAATCGGAAATGTCAATTTTGTGACATGGGGCATGACCCCTCATCTCATGACTGTAGATTAAATTATTTTGGCAGTGCAAAGGGCATGGAGGCCCACACTGCTGAGAAGTTAGTCACAAAAAGCAGTATTTTAAAATCTCAAAATTTACAAGTTGGTATATTAATAGGTGATGATGACAGCTCTTCAATAGCCTCTTGCAGGGCAGCATCGTCCCATGAGATAGTCAAACAAAGTGATATGAATCATACCAGTAAGGGGGTAAAAAATACTTTATATGGCATAGAAAAATCATTTGATGAAATCAATGGGGATGCAATTTTGTATTTACATAGATGTTTCACATATGCATTATCTCAAAACAGGGGGAATTGTGGTGCCATGGCTGTAGCTCTCAGAGCTATACCGTATCATGCTTTTAATGATCACACTATTTGTGGAGACTGGTGTGGCTACAAAAAAGACCCTGAAAATTATGATCATAGGATTGTTCCTGGGGGCTTCACTGACCCAGCATTACAAGAGAAACTCATAGATATTTTTAATAAATTAGCTAACAATGCTTCAAAGTTTTCTGCTGCTGCTTCCAGTAACTCTAATGAAAGCTTGAATTCTATGATGGCCAGGAAATGCTCCAAAATGACATGTTACAGTAGGTCAGAGTCAGCAGATTTCCGCTTTGGGGCTGTAGTGGGGAAAAAAAATTTAGGTGAGGTGTACACTCAAAAAGTCAATCTAGACAGTGACCGTAGTCCTGGTAGCCCATTTCATTCTAAATTTATTACAAGAACAGATCAATTAACTTCAAAAAAACGTAAGCTGTATGGTGATCCTGGTTTTAAGGCCAAAAGAATTAAAAGAAGCAAAGCAAGGGCTGCTCTTAAAAATAGAAAGGAAAAGGGGGAGGGAACAACATACCAACCACAAATGAATCTTTTAATGGAAGATGGTATTGGTGTTTTGCCCACTATTGATGATGAAGACATTGATGATGTAGAGGAATTGTCGGCACAGGGCGACATAATTTTATTTGATCTAGAAACAGGTGGTCTATATGCTGACAGTGACATACTGCAAATTGGTGCTAAGCGTAACAATGACACTTTTAGTGTTTATATCAAACCAACAAAACCAATCAATAAAAGAACATCATTATCTAATGGTCTGACAACGGAATCTGGAGATCTTTTTAAAAATGGTATTTGTGTCCAGACTGTTCCCTTGCAAGCTGCTATTGAGCAGTTCCTCAAATTTTTAAGTAAATCTAAAAATGTTTACTTGTGTGCCCACAAATTGTCATTTGATGGGCCGAGGATTGTGGAGGCATTCAGAAAATGCAACCTCATTGACACTTTTTCAACATTAGTAAAGGGAATGGTAGATTCACTACCTGTTATCAAAAAACATAGGCCAGACGAAAAAAGTAACTCATTGCAAACATTGTGTGCGGATCTAAACATTGACAGTAGTGATGCACATGATGCCCTTGCTGACGTTACAATATTAAACACTGTTTTAGTAAAATTAAAAATTTCATCTACTGAACTAATTGAAAATTCCACAGACATACAGATTCTAATACCTAGGTATTATGAACAAAAAGAAGCAAATAGCAGACTGAAAGATTTAAAGCCATTATTTGGTGTTGTAAGTGAGAACATGAGGAAGAAACTGGCAGCGGCCAATGTTTCCTTGCAGTCTCTCCGTGATGCCTATAATGCATCCGGAGAGACAGGCATTTCTGAACTGCTGGGGAATACAACTGAGGATGGGAAACCCCTCGTTACGAGGCACAAGCCAGTTTTTGTCCAACTGGCGAACTGGCTTGGCCAAAGGAATATTAACAATAGTAATAGTGATAGCAATAAAAACAATAGTGATAGTAATAGTGATAGTAATAAAAATATTAGCACTAATAATGTTGTAGAGACTGTACAAAGTCCCTCTGAAATGGACGAGCCAGACTTAGTTAGAGAGTATTTGGAGGATGGTGAAGAATTATCATTTTTTCAACTGTAAATATTGTTAATAAAATAAATTAAATGCACCAAAAAAATGCTAACATTCCTTTGTCCTGCTTCGTCCCCAACCAACTGCCACATTCAGTCTCTACATTCCTAACTAAATGTTGCATACAAGGATTTGAAAGTCCCGCCTCACGGTGCACTGCGAAGTGCGGGGGTGGGCGGGGGCCTGCGCGTGGGCGGCGTTGCCGTCGTGCAGTTGCCCTTTGCTACAAAACCGTCACATTCAGCACTTTCAAACGAGATTCCTTGAACACATATTAGTGACGGTCTTTCAAATATCGCACGATGAGCTCTTAAAGCATTAAGGTATGTAGTAAGTACTTCAGATTAACTTTCTGACTGGCCGTTTTTTAATAGATACAAGAAGAAGGGTCTCGATCGCAGTTTTCCCATAAGGTCCCATGTTAAATTTGTTTCATCAATATCTCGGCAACCATACAGACAATCTGTTTCATTTTTCACGCGGGGCTTGAGAAGGGGTCGCTTATTGTGCTGCGTGAATTTCATTCATTTCTGACTCGAACGAGTAACCTATCGGAATACCTTAAATTAAGCGTCCCCGCTCCTTCGCGCCTCCGTGCACCCCGTCGTCCTGCTGCAGGGCCTGCAGGGCCAGCCGGCAAACGCAGCACGCAGCGCGACGCGGTGGCGCTCCGTGATATGATTAACCCTCACCCCTCTCTCTCTCCCCCTCTCCCTCGTCCCTCTCGTGACCGCGCCCCATCCCTCGCCGCCCCTCGGGACCGCGGCCCCGGCCCGGCTAGTGGCCCGGCGGGCCGGCCCGACAAATGAGCCTAATTCAGGTCCGTTTATAACAGATTTGCACAATGGAGACATCGGTCACCAGCTGGGCCCGGCGGGGCTGGCAGTCCAGGAGGAGGAGGACTTGGAAATGAAGTGGCGCTCCAGCGTGACGCCTGCACTGCTTTGCCCGCCGCCGGGATCGATGGATCGATTCGAGAAGTCGACTGGTCGATTCGGCCGTGATTGAGTCGCCCCGCGGTCGGAGGGATCAAAAGCGATTAGCGCGTTCATTCCCGCGTCGCCAAACCGCGCGGCTGCCACGCCACTGTTGGCAGGCCGACCGCGCGACCGCCCGGCCCGGGCCTCGAAATTGAATCATGATTCGGCCGCTCGGCCGCCTCTTGGCAATAAATCTAGTGCGGGGCCTGCCGCCACACTGCCGCCGGTACGCCTGCGGTGCGCCGGCCGGGGCGGCGGGAAAAAGCGGCACCTGCGGACTCGTTCCGTCGCTCTGTCTCTCTCGCACTCATGGGGCGTCCCCTGCAGGTGCGAGAGAGACAGAGCGACTCAGGGCGGCCGTGATTCCGCCGGGGAGGCGTCTCCGCGATGCTATCGCCGCGCCGCGCCGCGCCACGCTTATTGATGTCTAATGGGACCATTACTGCCCTTCACAGACGCCGCGCGGAGGACGGCCTTTTGCATGCAACGTGTGGCCAGCCTGCCTTGCCGCTCAGGACGAGGTTCAAGGCGGGAAGTTAGTCAGGACGGACTGTAGCGAGTCTGTCTCGGGGGGCTGCGGGGGCTGCGGGGGCTGCGGGGGCTGCGGGGGCCTCGCCACCTGTCAGCGAGTCGGGCGGCGTGCCTTTGTCTCGGCCTGCCGACGCCCGTGAAGACGCGTGTCGCGTTCTGCCTCTGTCGCACTCACGGTCACAGTCGCCGGCCCGTGCAGGTGCGAGAGAGACAGAGCGACGGCTCATCGGCTGGACCGAGCCGGACCCTGGGCGGTAGCGTTGCAACCCCTGCGGCCCTGGCCCTGCCCGCGTGGTTTTCCGCACCCTGGTGGCCGCCCTGCCGCCACGCCTCCAAACCTGTGCACCGTCCCCCCCCCCCCCCCCCCACACACACACACGCACGGCGGCCCCTTTGAGGCGCAACGTAGCCCAGTAACACGCACGCTGTATTACTGACTCGTATTCACGCCCAGCTGCCACGCCCCCTCCTCATCTTTCTTCTTTCTCTGTTTTTCGATGTGCGTGTGTGTGTGTGTGTGTGTGTCGCTCCTCTGCGTACGTATCCTTTCCCTCTTTCTCCTCACTGCACTCCCCCCCCCCCTCTCTCTCTCTCTCTCTCTCTCTCTCTCTCTCTCTCTCTCTCTCCTCTCTCTCTCCTCTCTCTCTCTCTCCTCTCTCTCTCTCTCTCTCTCTCTCTGCGCGTTTCGCGTGATGCGGAGCGAAGCGCGCGGGCAAAACCATACACCTGTCGACCTAATGACACTGCATCAGGGAGGTCGCGGTCGGTCTTTCTATCCTTCCCCCGTCGTCCCGGTAGAATGGCTTTCCGCTAGGCGGGGACTCGAACCCGCGCCCCACGCCCCGCGCCGAGCTCCGCGGTGACCAAGCTGGACACTCGGGCCCTCCCTGTGTCCGCTGGAACCCCGCCACGGCAGCTCACTCGCTTCCCACAGATTTTACCCTCTCCTCTCGGCACAGCGCACCGATTCCGAGAGTCTGTCCTGTGCGGCACGCCCCCCGAGTGCGAGAGAGACAGAGCGACGAAAAGCGGCTCTCGGAGTCAGCCTCGCTGCACGGCGTACCCTTTCATTATTTGTGAAATAAATGCGGAGAAAAATGGAGGAGCCCGGCCGGCCGCGCCATGGCCAGGCCACCGCCTTGTACATTTATGCATGAATTCATCACGCGGTAATGACTCCCGCCGTGGCGAAGCAAGGCGGTGGCGCGGCGACGGCCCTCCGACCTCTTCATCAGTTTTGTCACTAACGCGTGCACTTTAATTTTTCTTTTAATTTTTAAAAATTTGATGGGTAGCTTAGTATTGAGCAATTCTTTTGTGAATCTGTCTGAACTTTTTAGCAGATGATACCTTCACACTTCATACTTAAAACTACTACAGTATACACAAATGAAGGTGTCAGCGTGCTTTTTTTTCCTTCTCAAACTTTTGACATGTTTTCTGTATGAATTTGAATTTTTCAAAGTTTAGTTTAGGTGGCAGTGAAGCTGTTTTCCGGCGTGAATTTCCCAGTCTTGCTGCTGTTTTTCTCGTGTTGTTGTTGTTAGGCCATCAGGGCCGGGGGCGTGGCGGGCGTGGCGGCGGCGCCGGCGGGGCGGAGGGCGGGGCGGCGGGGGCGGGGCGGCGGGGGCGGGGCGCGCCCGCCTGGAAACAGCTTTTCTCACTAAAGGCAGAGCGAGGCGAGGTGTGAAGTATCGCTAATTTGTCACATCGCCGACAAAGCTTTCGGAGAGCCGAGGCGGGCACCGAAGGGCCGACCGAGGCGCAGGTCGGTGTTGTTGGCCCCACATCGCCGGCGAGCTCTAATTTGTGCAACAGTAATCGTCAGACTGATTCCGAGAGTCGGTTCTCGTCGCTGTGTCTCTCCCTCGCACCTGTACGGGACGCCCCATGAGTGCGAGAGAGACAGAGCGACGAAAGCGACCCTCGGAATCAGTCTGCGGCTCCGCCGTCATCGGTGTGACCCGACACCTGCTTATTAGTAGTGCAGGGAGCGTTCGCGTGCGCGCGTCTATGATGACTGCAGTTTCTGACAGGGGCTCTGAGAAGCGAGGACGGCGCGGCTGGTTTTGGACACACACACACACACACACACACACACACACACACACACACGCACGGTTTTGACTTTTTGCGATGCCCACCTGACACACTGCGGCCCTGGCTCCGCTGCTGGGTGCGTCTGTCATTTAGGGGCCCTATCATTACACAGTGGGCTCTGGAAACATCGCGGCCTGGAGGAGAAGAAGAAGGAGAAGAAGAAGGAGACCGAGGAAGCGCAACAGTGCTTGGCAGTGTGGCCGCGAGGCTGGCGTTTGAACGCTCCGATTGGCCGGCCGACCGGCGCGCTAGTGTCAAAACTGGCTCCATTGTTTCTTCTCATTTCCGGTCTCGGCGTGGCGCGGCGCGGCGATGCCCGGAGAGTGGCGCGGACGGTGAAGTAGCCGCCGGAAGCGTGTGATGATCTTATTGCCACGATGATTTCGGCGCCACAAAAAAGAGGCCGGCCTTTCGGGTTCTAATTCGAGTGTCTCTGCTCGGGCCGGCGACGACGGTGGGTACCCCGGGGTACCCCCGGTACCCTTGCAGTACCCGGCGGCGGCGAGTACCCGCTGCGTGCTTCCGAGTACTGGCCACCATTGTCTCCTCATTTTCACAACGTTCTTTTCATCCCCCCCCCTTCCCCCCTTTCCGCAGTGTACACCCATTTCTCGGTCGCTGCTTCGCGCTTCGCACCGAGTTTTTGACCTGCCGGGCACCGCCAGGCACCGCCGCCTCGAAGGGCAGCGAGCGATACGCGTCTGCGCGGCAAGGCGCGGGAACAAGGGCGGATCCAGAGGAGGGTTCAGAGGGGGATGTCGCGAAAGTGGCTACCTTCCATAGGCAGCCCCACAGTGGGTCAGAAGGCCAGCGGAGGCGGCCAAAATTCCCGACGCGTTTTTGAGCTCCAGAGTCGCTAAATGGGACTCGAACCGAACGTGTGACCCCATCAATGGATTCCTCATCCGAAGAGCAATCCATTGATGGGGTCACACGTTCGGTTCGAGTCCCATTTAGCGACTCTGGAGCTCAAAACGCGTCTGGAGTTTTGGCCGCCTCCAGGCCCTCTGTGCGGCCGCGGCCTGGTTGCCTCAGCTAATCATCATCACCCCCGTGATGACCTTGTTGATGACCTCTCCTCCTGGAGGGAGGGCGGCCCCTGCCGAGGCCCCTGCAGCACCCCGTGACGCCCCGCTTAACAAGCCGTGACGGCCCGGCGGTCTGACGGCAGCGCCTCGTCGCCGAAAACCGAAAACGCGCGCAGTGTGTTTCTTTTTCGGGGCGTTGTCGCCGACAGCGCCGCTCGCGCCGCCCCCACCGCCCCCGGCCAGGCCGGCGGCGGCAACAGATGCAAGGCGGCGGCGTCCACGGCGTCCACGCCCCGCTGCACGCACCGCCCCCGCAGGCCGCTTCCGCCGGCGTCGCTCTGTCTCTCTCGCACCCTTGCAGGCCGCCCCTCGAGTGCGAGAGAGACCGCCATCGCCTGGACGGCCACTCGCGATCTCCTTTCAATCAAGC